TTTTTAGCCTTTTAGAGTTGCTGATGAATCAACAAGTGCCTCAAGGAGAAAGTGGTACCACATGCTGGGTTAACAGCTCTAAATTTCCCTCATCTCCAGAACCTTGGCCCTCAAGTACTCACTTCCTTGGCAGCTTTTAAATCATTTTTAAAACTCATTTTTTAAAACTAGCTTTTCTGGTTATTTTTATGAAGTTGTTCTGATATAAAGTAGTCTGCCATAGCTGGATGTGAAAATCTTACCTATGTGACTTCCTTTGGTATTATTCATTTAGCAAGTATTTATGCCAAAGCTTTAATTACAGGCATGCTTTGAAGATATTGTAGGTTTGGTTTCAGACCACTGCAATAGAGTGAATAACACAATAGAGCAAGTCACATGAAATTTTTTATTTCCCAGTGTATATAAAAGTTATGTTTACACTATATTGTGGTCTACTAAGTAATAGCATTGCTTTCTTAAGAATAATATGTCTGAAAAACAAAGTACATACCTTAATTTCAAATACTTTATTGCTAAGAAATGTTAATGGTGATCTGAGCCTTCATTAAGTTGACATTATTTTGTTGGTGGAGGGTTTGCCTCAATGTTGATAGCTGCCAACTAACCAGGGTGATGATTGCTGAATGATGGAATGACTGTGGCAATTTATTAATATAAGACAACAATGATCTTTGCTGCATCAATTGATTCTTCCTTTAATGAAAAATTTCTTTGTAGCATGTGATGCTGCTTGATAGCATTTTACCCGCTGTAGAACTTATTTCAAAACTGGAGGCAATCCTCTCAAATCCTGCTACTGCCTTACCAACTAAGTTTAGGGAATATTCTAAATATTTTGTTGTCATGTCAGCAATATTCACAGCACCTTCAGCAGAGGTAGATACCATCTCAAGAAACCACTTTCTTGGCTCATTCATAAGAAGAAACTCCTGATCTGATCAGGTTTTTTTTTTTTTTTTTTTTTTTTTTAAATGAGATTGCAGCAATTCAGGCACATCTTCACACCCTACTTCTAATTTTAGTTGTCTTGCTATTTCTACCACATCTGTATTCACTTCTTCCATTGAAGTCTTGAACCCCTTAAAGTCAACCAATGAAGATTGAAGTATTATCATGAACAGGAGTTTGGAAGAAGTTCATTCCAATGAAGATTGGAATGAACTTCTTCCAAACTCCTGTTCATGTTAATGCTTTGCCCTCCTTCCATGAATCACAAATAATCTTCATGGCATCTAGAATGGTGAATTCTTTTTCAGAAGGTTTTCAATTTACTTTGCCCAGATCCATCAGAGAAATTCCTTTCTATGGCAGCTATAGTCTTATGAAATGTGTTTCTTAAATAATAAGGTTTGACAGTCAAAATTACTCCTTGATCCATGGGCTGCAGAATGGATGTTGTGTCAATAAACATGAAAAACAACATTAATCTCCTTGTACGTTGCCATCAGAGCTCTTGGGTGACCAGGTTCATTGTCAATAAAGAGTAATAATTTGAAAAGAATATTTTTTCTAAGCAATAGGTCTCAACAGTGGGCTTAAAATATTCAGTAAGCCATGCTGTAAACAGATGTGCTGCTATTCAGGCTTTGCTTTTCCATTTATAAAGATCAGACAGAGAAGATTTCACATGATTCTTAAGGGCCCTAGAATTTTCAGAATGGTAAATGAGCATTGGCTTCAACTCAACTCAAATTCACCAGCTGCATTAGTTTCTAGCAAGAGAGGCTGTTCTTTGAAGTTTGAAGCCAGGCATTGACTTCTCTCTAGCTATGGAAGTCGTAGATGGTATCTTCTTGCAATAGAAGGTTGTTTTATCTACATTGAAAATCTGTTATATATTGTGGCCACTTTCATTCATGATCTTAGATAGATCTTCTAGATAACTTGCTGCGGCTTCTACATTTGCACTTGCTGTTTCACCTTGCACTATAAAAGTTAAGAAGATAACTTCTTTCCTCAGCCTTCATGAACCAACTTCTACTAGCTTCCAACTTTTCTTTTGCAACTCCCTTGCTTCTCTCAGCCTTCATAAAGTTGAAGAAAGTTAAGGCCTTGCTGTGGATTAAGTTTTGTCTTAATTAAGGAAATGTTGTTCCTGGTTTGATCTTCCATCCAGACTACTCAAATTTTCTTGATATCAGCAATAAGGCTCTTTCACTGTCTTAAGATTCATGTGTTCATTGGAGTAGCACTTATAATTTTCTTCATGAATTTTTCCTTTGCCTTCATACCTTGTCTAACTGTTTGGCACAAGAGGCCTACCTTCCAGCTTATCTCTGCTTTTGACACGTCTTCCTCACTAAGTTTAATCATTTCTAGCTTTTGATTTAAAATGAGAGAGCTGTAACTCTTCTTTTCAGTTGAACAATATTAATTGGTTATTAATTGGCTTAATTTCAATACTGTTGTATCTCAGGGAATAGGGAGGCCCAGGAGAGGGAGAGAGATGGTGGAGAGGCTGGTCATTGGAGCACTCAGAACACACACAGCATATGTTGATTAAGTTTGCCTTTTTACATGGGCATGGTTCATGACACCCCAAAACAATTACAATAGTAACATCGAAGATCATTGATCACAGGTCACCACAGCAGATATAATAATAATGAAACAGTTTGGAATATCGTAAGAATTACCAAAGTGAGCACATGCTATTGGAAAAATTGGCACCAATAGACTTGCTTGACACAGGGTTGCCACAAACCTTCAATTTGTGAGAAAATGCAATATCTATAAAGGAGAGTAAAGTGAAGCTTGATGAAACGAGGTGTACCTGTATACTGTTTAGTTGTTGTGAAGTGGACTTCTAAAGCAATGCATGTACTAGACAATGTCTTAAACTTTGTGTACCCTTGTGCATATTCTTATTTTTTTTCTGAGACAGGGTCTTACTCCCATTGCCCAAGTGGGAGTACAGTGGTGTGATTATAACTCATTGCAGCCTCAACCTCCTGGGCTCAAGCGATCTCTTGCCTTGCTATATGATTCTTTGTAGAGATGAGTTCTCACTATGTTGTGCAGGCTGGTCTCAAGCTCCTGAGCTCAAGTGATCTGCTTACCTTGGCTTCTCAAAGTGCTGGGATTACAGGCATGAGCCACTGCACCTGGCCTCCATATGCTTTAAGGTCACAAAGGATCTTACTGCTACCTGTTTGAGACATCTATGTATCACATCATGTTTTGTTTCATCTGTTAACATTATTTAATGATAATAAGTCTAAGAATACAGTGTCATGTTGACAATTTCTAAGTTTTTATTTCTATGTTGATATATATATGTAAAGAAATAAAATGCTCTAAAGTAAAAGAGAAGTATTAACAGGTTCAGTTCTCTCTCACACACATGCACACACACACACATGTGCACACACACACACCATGTAATATTTACAAAAGCTTTAATTTAACACAGGAAGCTACATTTCCTATTGAATGGTATTGTGCTCACTGATATAGCACTCACCTGGCATTTATACAGTCAATAGGCATCTCTTTATAACTAACCCAAATATTAATACACCAATATGTGTGTGCAGAACTACAGGCAAGCTGCTCAACAGGTATAGAACACCGAAGCCACAAGATACAGAGTAGTCTTAAGGCATCTCTTAAGCACTTAATCTAAAAACAAAACTGAATTATTCCATTAATTTCCATTTCCCCTAATGTTTTACCTTTTATAATTTTCTACACTCTCATTTTGAGAAAAAAAAATTATAACATTGATCAGAATGGGCCTTCAACCTTTTTCCCCTGACACTCCTGGTCCCTTCTTTAAATTCTATGGTATACCTCTTTTATGCAAGGGATGTATTACTAATAGCAGTGTGTGAAAACTAAAATCTTAATAGTACAATATTTTTATTTATTTATTTATTATTTTTTGAGACAAGATCTCACTCTGTTGCCTAGACTAGGGTGAAGTTGTGAGAGATTTCAGCTCACTGCAACCTCCACCTCCTGGGCTCAAGTGATCCTCCCACCTCAGACTTCCAAGTAGCTTGGACTACAGGCACATGCCACCACTCTCGGCTAATTTTTGTATTTTTTATAGAGACAGGGGTCTTGCTATGTTGCCCAGGCTGGTTTTGAACTCCTGGCTCAAGTGATCCGCCCACCTCAGTCTCCCAAAGCGCTGAAATGACAGGCATGAGCCACCACAACAGATCACAATATTTAAATACTAAAGAAGATCGCTATTTAAATATAGTCTATTTGTCATTCATTTTTGGAAATAAAAATTTACTCATTAATTTATTCATTTTTAAATGAATAATTATTAAGCAGCCTATAAATTGAGTAAGTTTTTTTGAGTGTGAGACAGTATACTAAATATTTTACTCTAAAATGAAGGTCAATTTCTCAAATAATGGATTATGAGACCATTAAAAATTCAGAACATCCATGGACATTTTAAAAACTGAATAAAGAGAAAAATAGATGCCCATTCTATAAATCATACTAGAGATAGCATTTGGTGATATTTTTGATAGCATAAGTTTTGGGTTGTACCTGTTCTGGAATCTTGGGGCATTAAGTCTCTAAATTTCTTCTACTCTGTCCTAAAGCCTGCAAAAATGTAAGTTGGAATCTGGAGTTACACAGTAATTCTCATAGCCTTGCAGGTGAATTATTTATGAAATTCTTGAATAGTATTATCATTTGAAATAATGCATAAATCTAGATTAATCTTTTGATTTGAAACTGTTATTAAAATAACATTTTTACAGTGTGAGGGGATAATCTTGATGTTAAACCAATGATAATTTCTGAATCATTTTCTGCATTTTTATACTAAAAAAGCCCACGTTTGAAAATAATAGTAATATTACAAAAATGAGTCTTTGCCTAGGCTGAGAAGATATCCTATATTGCTATTTAGATTCTTTTCTCAAGAGAAAACAGTTTTTTTTTACCAGGGAATTCAGTTATCTGTACCATGATGGAAAAATCTTGGTATTACATGCCAACAGTGTCACCCAGGATCATTGAGTTACCTGTTAAAGCTCCTGTAATCAGGCAGTTCTGCCTTTCCTTCAGGCTTGAAAAGTTTAGGATATAAAGCCTCTAAAAGCTCCGGATCATTGCTAATGGCCTGCTCCCAGGGAGACTGATAGTACTTAGGGACAGCTGTGGTGTTGAATTTTTCAGGAGGAATTTCCTTCAGTGGTCCAGAATATCCTTTGGAAAAATATAGCAAAAATAAGTAAACACTATGCCCAAGAGTTATTAAACTCCACCTAACATTTCACCATGTTTGATTTTTCATGCTGGGTTAAATTTATGAAGCATGCATCCTCTTTATCATCTCTTAGAAAACAGCAGTCTGCAAGTGTTAGACATTTTAAAGCTCCTGTATGCTTATGGGAGTTTAAAAAGAAACCATTTTTCTTGATGTTTAATTTTTCCAAATTATAGTTTTTCCTTGACTATCTTAGAATATATTTGTTCCAGTAAAACTATTCATTTAATTTTCTAAAAATTGTGCTCCTTGCCTTAATTCACACTAAACATTAGATACCACAATTAACTAATTTAAAAATGTTAATATTGAGCGCCTGTTGTAGTCTAAGCTAGGGGAAATAGCAATGAAGACAAAATCTCCCTCCTCTCGAGCTGATTCTTTAGAGGTGGTGTTAGAGTTTTGTCTATCTTCAATTGCTGAGTGCTCTGTAAAATGTTTACGCTTCAAGAAGATGGAGTAACTTGTCTCCATTACCTTATTCAGGCCCAGCTCTTCTTAACTCCCCATATATCCATCCCTGTTTATTTTGTTCCTCAAGATTTCTTACCTACCTTTTGTGCTTCTGATCTCACCTCCCCAGTTTATTCTTCTCATAACAGCTGGGAATTTTCTGTAAATACCATTTAAAAGTCACAGAAATTCCTGGCATAGATCTTTGAACCTTTTTCACAGTGACACTCTTCCAGTTTTCTAAGGCACATTTATCTACTTTCTGTTTACACTGCCATACTACCTAATTATATCCCTGCAATTCTCTCTTCCACCATGTTAAATCCCTTTCCCATTTGATGACTTCTACTTTTAGATTTCTCTGATGCTCTTTCCCATCTCTACAATAATTTTGATTTTCTTCTGTCAGAGCATGCCTATCTTCTCTTTACACCAAAATGTTTATCTCCCCCAAAACAGTTCCTTCCTTGATAATTCCATGTGTAAATAGTTATTTGTGATTATTTAATTTTCTTCAGATTGCCTCCAATATCTAATGGAGATCTTTTTATAGGCTCCTTTTCTCTGCTTACCACTTGAATACTGTTGTTCCTCAAAGTTCTTTTCTTACTCTACCTAGGTACTCTACCTAGAAAATTCCATTTATATGCACAGCTTCAATTGTGACCTATGTATTGATGATTCTGACTTTTTTTAATCTTCAAGCCCTCTACTCAATTATTTACTATATTTGTCAAAATAAATGATCCACTGGCACTCTTTATAACTTGTCTAGACCTAAATGCAGCCATTTTCTAATATATTCTGCTTCTTTTTCTATTTTGGTCATTTTAGCAAATGTTATCACTTTACTGTAGATGCCCAAGATAGCATTATCCAAAACTCTCCCTCATCCCCACAACAAATCACAAAGTGTTACCAACTATATTTCCTAAGAATTTCTAAAATAGTGACTCTCATACTATTGTGTCTGAATTATCTTGGAAACATATTTAAAACGTAGATAATAGGATCCCCCCTCCAGAGATTTGGCTTCAGTAAATCTCAGGTATAACCCAAAAATCCAAGTGTTTAACAAACTCTAATGCAAGTCTTATGCAAATGGCCTACAAACAGAACAATGAGGAACATTGTTCTAAGAAATTCTCTTTACATTTCCATTACTTCTGCCCTGGTCAGGCCCAGGTGTCTCTTGCCCGGGTGTTCGTCAGAGCTTCAACACTAATCCTTTAGCTCTAACCCCTCTCCCAGCCACCCTCCACACTGCTGCCCCAGGAGACTTTCCTAACTGGCCACACTCTTCCCCTGCTCAGGGTGCCCTAATGCCTCCCAGGACAAAATCTCAACTACTCAGTGTGACCCAGGTGGCCCTTCCACCTGTCCAGCCTCACCACCTGCTTTCTCCTCTCACACTCTTTGCTCCGGGACTATGGATCTAGTCACTTGTTGCTTAGGGTGCCTCTTATGCCCCCCTACTTGGTCTGTTTATTTCCTGTGCCTGGAATGTTCTTCCTACTTCTTGTCATGTGCAAATTTCTATTGCAAGCCTCAGCTTCAGGTCACCCTTCTAGGCAGCCATTCCTGCCTCCCCAAGGAAAAGAGTTTTCTTTCCTGTGTCTTCTCTTCATATATTACATGTAATTCCATCACTGTAACTACCACATTAATTGCCTATTCCTTTCATGGAGTCAGACCTTTAGAAACTGGAAAATTTTAACATTTATAAAACTTTTAAAAATTCCTCAAAATCCCACTATCCTAATACAAATATTTAGTTTTACGTATTTTCTTCCAGTTTTTCTTCACCTGTAAACATAATGATCACATAACTAGAACATCTAGTGTACATGTAATTTTGTTTTCCCCAGAATATGTTCAAACTACTTTTAAATGTTTCTGTATCATGTTTATAATTATTTTAAGGGTTCCACAATAATCTATTAAATTAAGGGGCCATATTCATGTAATTTTTTCCCATTTTTGAACTTTCAGGGTTTTCTAATTTCTTTTTATATATATGATTAAAAAACAACTTTTTTCTTTTTTCATATGCTGAGTTTTCTACAGAAAAGAATGTGCTTATGTTTAACCTTACAGAAATATTACAGTTCAGCAATGCCATATGTCTACATTTTTTTTTAATTTTTAAATATGTTTTAATATAAGTGAAATTTAGATAAATTTTATTTTTATAGTATTATGGCATTTTCATACTCTTATTTATTCATGTATGAAAAAAGTTGGCTTTTGGATACATAGTTGGTTAATCACTAACAAATTAATTTGCCAAAGTGTAATAATTATGGTTTCACTGAGCTTATTGTACTTTTCAACTTATCTACCCAGAAGGAAGAATCCATTTGTACTCTTGTTTCATAGTAAACTACCTAATAACACCCAAACTCTCCCTTTTCTTATTCTATATTACATAGACATTTTCTAATATTTAATATTGGATACTAGCACTAAAGAGCTACATAAATTTAGAAATTTAAAAATTTCTCTTAAGTTAAATATTGCATGTCCTCATTTATATGTGGAAGCTAAAAAAGAATGATCTCCTAGAGGAAAAAAAGAGGACAGAGGATACTAGAGGCTGGGAACAGTAGAGAGAAGTGCGGACAAAGAGAGATTTCTTAAAGAATGCAAAATTATAGCTAGATAAGAGGAATAAGCTCTAGGCTTCCCTAACACTTTGGGATGACTATAAATAATAATGCTATATTATGCCACGTGTGGTGGCTTATGCCTGTAATCCCAGCATTTTGGGAGGCTGAGGCAGGCAGATCACAAGGTGAGGAATTTGAGACCAGCCTGACCAATATGGTGAAACACTGTCTCCATTAAAAATACAAAAGTTAGCCAAGTGTAATGGCATGCCCTGTAGTCCCAGCTACTTGGGAAGCTGAGGCAGAAGAATTGCTTGGACCGGGAGACGGAGGTTGCAGTGAGCCAAGATCGCACCTCTGCACCCCAGCCTGGGTGACAGGGTGAGATTCCATCTCAAAAAAAATAATAAAAAATAAAAATAAAAAAGAATAATATATTATATAGTTCAGATAGCTAGAAGGAGGATATTGAATACTTCCAACACAAAGAAATAACAAATATTTGAGATGATGGATATATATCAAAACATTACATGTGCCCCAAGAATATGTACAGTTATTACATATCAATTTAAACAATATGAATTAGAACTATAACAGTTGAGTGGGAGGTACATATTGTCAAAAATAGTATTACATTGGAGAAGATTCTAGGAGTACTTTTGCTAAATGTACTGTTTATTTTACAAAAATAAGATATCATTAGTTTCAAGATGTAACTATTTAAAATTTTTGAAATCTATGCATTACTCTTGAGAAAATGCTTGAATTTTCAAAGACACTATAAGTTACTTTGAAAAGTTGTCTAATCAGATAATGTAATTTTTGGAAAGATGTCAGACTATGAATAAGGAGTTGATTCTCTTTTAAAATAATAAACAAATGCAGCTCTTTAGGAGCTGCATTGAAAGTCCTTTGAGGAAACAGAATAACAAAAACAATCACCATAAGATCTGTTGACATGAGGCACTTGTAAATTTGGTACCAATCTTGTTTAATTCTTTTTGGTTTTATTTATTTATTTTTTGTAGGGATAAGGTCTTGTTATGTTGACCAGGCTGGTCTCGAGCTCCTGGCCTAAAGTGATCCTCCTGCCTCAGCCTCCCAAAGTGCTGGTATTATAGGTGTGGGTCACTGTACCTAGATCTAATTCTTTTTTTCTTATGATTTTAATTTAAAATCTTTTTATTTTTAGCTTTGTGGGTACATATTTATGGGGTATATATTTTAGCTTTGCGGGTATATATTTATAGGTGTATATATTTATGAGGTACATGAGATCTTTTGATAACATCATGCAATGTACAATAATCACATCAGGATAAATCGGGTATCCATCACCTCAAGCATTTATTATTTATGTTATAAACAATCCAGTTATACTCTTTTACTTATCGTAAAATGTACATACAGCTAGGTTATGGTCACCCTGTTGTGCTATCAAATACTAGGTCTTATTCATTCTTTCCATTTTTGTTGCTTCATAGGCATTCATAACCTCAGCGTCTTTTTTTTTTTTTTTTTTTTTTTTTTTTGAGATGGAGTTTCGCTCTTGTTACCCAGGCTGGAGTGCAATGGCGCGATCGCAGCTCACTGCAGCCTCTGCCTCCTGGGTTCAGGCAATTCTCCTGCCTTAGCCTCCGGAGTAGCTGGGATTACAGGCACGCGCCACCATGCCCAGCTAATTTTTTGTATTTTTAGTAGAGACAGGGTTTCACCATGTTGCCCAGGATGGTCTCGATCTCTTGACTACCTGATTCACCCGCCTCGGCCTCCCAAAGTGCTGGGATTACAGGCATGAGCCACTGCGCCAGGCCCAACCCCCACGTCTTAATTTATAAAATGAGGATTGCAATTAATAGGTAATGGAGTTACTGTGAAATTAAAAAAGACAATATATATCACAGCCTTTTATAAATTGTACAGTCCTATGCAAATAGAATTTCAATATAATTACAAATTATTATTAGAATTTTCAATATAGCAGGTGATTAACAGACCACCTAAAAGAAAGAACACACAACTACTATAAATGTTTTATGTGTTTCCTTTAGGTCTGAATTTTTGCATTTGTATTTATCCAAAAAACTTTTGTTTTTGAGTCAGGATCTCACTCTGTTGCCTAGGCTGGAGTGCAGTAGTGTGATCATGGCTCACTGGAGCCCCCACCTCCTGGACTCAAGTGATCTTCCCACCTCAGCCTCCCGAGTAGCTGGGACTACAGGTGTGCACCAACACGGCCAACTAAATTTTGTATTTTTTGTAGAAATGAGGTTTTGCCATGTAGTCCAGGCTAGTCTCAAACTTATGGGCTCAGGTGATCCATGCACCTCACTCTCCCAAAATGCTGGGATTAGAGGTGTGAGCCACTATGCTTGGGCCCAAAAAACGTATTTAATTAGGAAAGATATATTATTTAAATACTATTTAATAAAGGTGTTAAATGCCTTGAGTCATATCACTAGGTACACAGAAATTTCATTGCTCTATTAGTAAGGGGATTGGTTACCTGGTGCAATGTTGTCTGGATTTGGAGGGCTTCGTGGATCTGGGGTGTTGGGAGGAGTCAAGGGGGCTTGCTGTGAACCACCTTCCAAGTTGCTTCCATCCAGTTTCTCATTCTGCATAGCAATACTGTGCTGTTTTTTAGGAAAAGTAAACTGCTGAAAACTCAAAAATGTAAACACAATAATGGGAGCTATATATGCAAAACTCCATTTGTATATTTATAATTTAAATGCAATGTCGTTTCATTACTTCCTGGGACCTCAGTGATTTTTTACATGATAATATGGTTCTACATTTGAATGACATTTACTGATATGAGTCTAAAATCTGCTTTATGATGACAATACACTTAATAATAATTAAAGCTGAAATTAGTCGAGCCTTACGGTGTGCCATGCACTGTCTAGTGGTTTATATCAATCATTTCATTTTCTATTTGCAACATCGCTATGAGATAAATGTATTTATTTTTTAATCCTTACTAATCTAATAATGTGGAGCATATTGGCCAAGCATTTGGCCTAGTAATTCTTATGTTCCATTGTATTTATATTTTGTCTTTAATTAGATTCTTTAATGGATAGAAAGTTTAAAAATCTAATCTGAAATTTGAACGGCAATCATATGTATTCCCAAAAAACCCAAAAATCATTTATATTTTAAGTTGCATAGACTTGCGAAAGGAAAAATTTGTGATTTTTGGAAAATAAAATGCTGAAAAGAGACCTTTGTCTTTTATCTCTGCCTGAGGTTAGAATTTATAGCAAAAATATTACAACGTTAAATGTTTAAAAAACTTTAAACATTGCATACCTAATTGCAGAGTCATCATCACATTCACACTTCATTTGGTACTGAATAAGCCTAAATGTTTTAGCCTTGCACTGACACCTCCCTATCTAGTCTCATCAGTTTTTAAAGATGCACGCTAAGCTTAAAAGCAAACCACTTATGATTCCCCCATTATCTTGTATGCTTTTCTACCTTTGATTCTTTGATCATAGGAGTTCCCCTAGCAAGAGGCCCCCTCTCCATCTTTACCATGGTCAGATCTGTCCTAATTTAAAGAACACCCCCTCTCTTATTCTTCCTCCCCTTCAAATCAAAAGTTTTTGTCTTTCTTCTCACTGATCCCGTATCATTTTCCTTTAAAATAATATTTTGTGTCCTGTTTCATTTACTAGCTTGTTGGCTACTTGAGGACAGGGAATTTCATTTTGCTTACATGTCTTTTACAAAGCCTAAGATGGTGCCTTATATAGCACAAGCAGTCAGTGAATATTAGCTGAATTTTTAGTGAAAAAATAGCCAAATCCACTTGACTCTTTTTTACTATGACATTTTAAAAAATGTCAACTTCCTTTTTCACTTTAGCCTTCATGCACCTGTTCTCCTCATTGCTCACACTTTCATCATATTATCACCTACCTTCTGTCCATTTTCCACCAAGCATTTCCCTTCCAGTCAGACTGAATACAAATCCTGGTATGGCATTACCCCAATCTTTAGAAATTGTTCCTAATTGCCTAGTGAATAAAATGCAAACTCTCTTGACTAGTAATCAAGATCTTGTACTCATCTCCTAAATATTATCTCTCATGCATTGTAAACTTCCACAAGCCAGTTCCCCACTGCTACCCTCTGCCCTCCTCAGCCCCACAAGTTGTTTCACCTGCTTGGAATGCCGTCCTTTCTGTTCTTTGTTTCCTCTAAGACCCATCTTAGAATTTCCCTCTTCTTTCTGACTAACAATCTATTGGAAATGTCTCCATATTTTGCATTATCTCAATACTTCAATAAAACCTATCCCATCTTCTCATGCTCTTTCTTACTTGTTCTTGTTACCTGGATTTTGGTATTGCGTTTAGGTCATTTGGAGGCCCCACCCTATTTATAATCTGGTTGAAGTCTAGTTGGCCACCGATTTGATTTGGATGTTTGTCCCCTCTAAATCTCATGTTGAAATTTCATTTCCAGTGTTAAGAGTTGGGGCCTAGTGGGAGGTGTTTGGTCATGGAGGTGGATTCCTTACGAATGACTTGGTGCCATCCTCGTAGTAATTAGTTCCTATGAGAACTGATTGTTAAAAAGAACTTGGCACCTCCTCCCTCCTCTCTCTTCCTTCCTTCCTTTCTCACCATGTGATGCCAGCTCCCCTTTCCCTTCTGTCATGAGTGGAAGCTTCCTGGGGCCCTTACCAGAAGCAGGTGCTGATGCAATGCTTCTTGCACAGTCCACAGAACCATGAGCCAAATAAACCTCTTTTCATTATAAATTACCCAGTCTCAGGCATTGTGTGTGCACACACGTGTGTGTGTGTACAATACAACATTTTGAATTTGAATTCAGCTCCTATTTTGAGTGTTGGACTTAATAATTGACGAGATTAGTATCTTTTTGTTTTACTTCTAAACCTATACTACCTCTTTAAAAAAAAGTAAAAAGTTCCTGACGACTTTAACTATAAATAAAAAGGCATTTGAGATAAATGTGGGAAGTTTAAATGTATAATGCACAAAGAATAACGTTTTCTAAGTTCCTAGAATGTGTTCATGAAATGAATTTCACCTAAACTTACAAATAATTCCACCTACATTAATTTCTAGGAATTGTAATACTAACCTTCTATAACCTTTTCCTGGAGATTAAAGATAAGCAGGAAAATCAACTCTTTCTAGTTAGTCATTAATTATCAGGAGACACCCAATACCTCCACATCATCATTAAGTATACAAGCAAAGCCTTATAATAGTTAGGTAGTAACCTGTATAATTACAAGCCTTACATCATAGCATTCCATCATCCGCAATTCCCTTCAGAAAAGTTGGAAAGACAAATGAAAATATGTCTCTTTTTATCTCAGTTAAGTGGACCCTAAAGAAAACAAAACTAGCACGACATCCTATAGATTATGAATATGTAAATTAAAAACACATACAGAAGATGCTTAACATTATTTTTGTTGAAATATCAATAGAAATAAAAGAAGGCTCCTTTGTATGTTCTATGCTTTGTGCCAAACACATGGTAGAAGTTATTTTCTGAACAAAGCAAATACATATTTAGAGTTCCAGTTACTTAGTGTGGTCTTATTTCAGAATTACTTTTTACAGTATACTTCTTTTCCCAGTAGTATGTAAGATTTCTAGAGATTCAAAAAATATGATATCCTTTTGTGGTAATTTATAAGAAGAGAATTTTAATTATCATGAATCATTCTTCCATTTTACTTTATTTTTGGTGGCCTATTTTCTTCATCCATCTCCATTTTGCCATTTTGGTTAAGAAATAGCTAGTTCTGCCAGGCATGGTGGCTCACACCATGTAATCTCAACACTTCGTGTGGCTGGCAGGTGGATTACAAGGTCAGGAGTTCTAGAACGTCTGGCCAATATGGTGAAAACCTGTCTCTAGTAAAAATGCAAAAATTAGCCGGGCATGGTGGTGAGTACCTGTAGTCCCAGCTACTCGGGAGGCTGAGGCAGGAGAATTGCTTGAACCCAAGAGGCAGAGGTTGCAGTGAGCCAAGATCGAGCCACTGCACTCCAGCCTGGGTAACAGTGAAACTCCTTCTTAAAAAAAAAAGAAAAGAAAAGAAAAGAAAAACAAAAGACACAGCTTGGCTTATGAACTAGGGCTTCAAAATTGGCTCATGTAACAAGCAATGTTCATTTCTTTTTAGGAACACATATTTACTATTATTATTGTTTGTGTCATAGAAACTATATGTAGCTTGAATTTGCCAGTGTCCCTCAACAGTAGAATTCAAAGCTACGTTTATTTTTTCTGTTTTTAAAATGTTAGTATTTGAACAAATGGCATTAATTATCATGGGGTTGGTTTATATTTTCACTTATATGAGGTCTTAAGCACTATGCTAGAATAAGAAATTCTAAAGCTAAGTTAGATTATTACTTTGACAATATATTCAGGGCCGGGCGTGGTGGCTCACGCCTGTAATCCCAGCACTTTGGGAGGCCGAGGCGGGTGGATCACGAGGTCAAGAGATCGAGACCATCCTGGTCAACATGGTGAAACCCCGTCTCTACTAAAAATACAAAACATTAGCTGGGCATGGTGGCGCATGCCTGTAATCCCAGCTACTGAGGAGGTTGAGGCAGGAGAATTGCCTGAACCCAGGAGGCGGAGGTTGTGGTGAGCCGAGATCACGCCATTGCACTCCAGCCTGGGTAACAAGAGTGAAACTCCGTCTCAACAACGACAACAGGCATAAGCGACAATATATTCAAAAAAATGTAGACAATAAATTAGATTAATGTGACATAAATCATATAAGGATCATTCAAGAACTAGATTGTAAGTAAATAAAAGCTCTCTTATCTTTCAATGTCATTTGGTCTCTCTCTCACTAGATAAAGCCTGTATCTATTTATCTTTGAGCTTGCAGCTTAGTATCTAGAACATAATAGGCACACAATAAATACTTGCCAAAAGTATAAATGCATGTGAATGCAAATAGACCTGAATTCCTGTCATATTAATGTTTCAAGTTGCAATCTAGAGCCTTGACAAAGTGTATGTATCATTTTACAATGTGGTGACTATCTTCCTTAATGATTTATTATTCAGGTAATTTTTAGAATTAAGATCAGGCAACACAGATACAATTCAAGACAGATGGCACCTGAGAGTGCATTGAAGTACATATCTTCATTTTTAAACTGAGAGGGAAAATCCAGAAAGGCAAAAAAGTAAATAAATAAAAAAGAAAACCCTTTTGAATCAATTCTAAATCACACGGCTGGTGGGAGGGCCAGGACCAAAGGTCTCCTGATTCTCAGGCCAGAGTTTCCTTTAATTACACCATGAGAGGAGTTGGTGCCAAGAACTCTAGAATTCTGAGAGCTGAGTTTCAGTCTTCTTTATTATGGAGTTGCTTAAGTCAAATGAACATACTTCCTTGAATACTACTTTCCTTATTTTGAACGAAGAGTACATTTCATCAGACTTCAGAGTATATTATGTAACTCAATAAAATATGACTTTATTGCATACATTATTATTGCTGATTGCTCTGAGTTATTTATCAACATTTAATTATTTATCTCAATAAACCTGTTTGGGATCATTTCATTTATTCAGTGCCCAGTCTTCTGAGAATAGTGAAAAATTGTCAAGACACGTTGTTATATATATTATGTGTAACTAGAACACATTTGACCACAGGTACATAAGATTATTGTCAATAATTTGAAATACAAGTGGTAAGAGAATATGTTGTGTTCCTAGAGACATTTTAAATCTTATTGTACCTTTCTTCAGAGCTGTAGTTAAAGTATTATTCCTAGAGATGTAAGTGGAAGTTATAAAAACTGACATTATTCATTTATTCAAATGTCTAAATTTGCAGATGACTTTTCAAAGACTTCCTTAAGCCACCTTATTTTGTACTGCTCCATAGAGAGTCTTCTCTGTTGCCGTTATTGAAAGAATATGATTACATAGACTCCCTCAGATGGGATAGGGATTATTTTTGACTCATACTTACAAGATGATTTTTAATAAAAGGATACTGGAAATTCTTGTAAGGTACATTGACTTCAATTAAAAAATCATTCCTCACAAATATAAATACTATAGTTGAGTAAAAGACTTGATGGCTAACTGAATTCACAATTAAAACTAGATTTAATCAATGGATGGTTGAAGAATGCTTACAAATATGAAAATTTGTTAAGTGTCCTCTCAAAATTGTCTGTTAACAAAAAACATAACAAGGAAAATAGAAATACGGAACACAAAATTTTAGTGTTTGTGGATGTAGATATTAGTTTCTATAATGTGTTTTAGTAAGTATAGTAAAATAAATCAGGGATATTAGTCTGTTTGTTTGCCTTAAAGAAGTGAGCTGTCCAGGCCAGGCACAGTGGCTCACGCCTGTATTCCCAACACTTCAGGAGGCTGAGGCAGGCAGATCACCTGAGGTTGGGAGTTTGAGACTAGCCTGATCAACAAGGAGAAACTCCGTCTCTACTAAAAACACAAAAAATTAGCTGGGCTTGGTGGTGTATGCCCATAATCCCAGCTACTTGAGAGGCTGAGATAGGAGAATTGCTTGAACCCAGGAGGAGGAGGTTGCAGTGAACTGAGATCGCACCATTGCACTCCAATCTGGGCAACAACAGCAAAGCTCTGTCTCAAAAAAAAAAAAAAAAAAAAAAAAAAAAAAGAAGAAGAAGTGAGCTGTCCTCAAAACAACTTACTAGTAATGGCAGCTGGTAAGTTTTTGGACTTAACATTTGTAAGTAAACTTACAGACCTTTCATAGCTATAGGAAGAAACTCTCAGCAAGTAAAACATATTTGTTGAAGTCACCATGATCTTTTCAAATTTAGGACCAATGCACTGTTCCTTTTTGATTCTTCATGCTACCAGTCCTTTGAATTGTAAAGCCATTTTCCCAAAGCTGGTTGCCTTTCTATTATCAACGTTTTCCTCTACAATCTCTTTAAATGACAGTTTTAGTGAATGTAATGTTAATACAATATATAAAACATAGTTTAATTAATTTTTGTTTGTTTATTAGCTTTGAGTTGAGAAAATCTCTGTCCAAAGAGTTATATCCAAACCAGTTTTGTCATTAATGAGTACCAGATTTATTCAGCAAATAAAATGCTTATCCTCACTGGTGGAGCGCTATGTGCTTTGGAAGTGTTTCCATCTCAAACATGTAACAGGTTGTGATAAGACCATGGAAACTTTTAATATCACTTCTCTCCATTCCTTCTCCCTCCTCTTAGTGAAACAGACAAGTTCCTCAGTGCCAAATCTACCAACTTACAATGTCCCTATTGAACTAAAAGTGTGCTCATATCATACATAATACTTCTTTTGTTTACCCACCTAAACTATTCATTATAATGAAAAAAAAAACAGTCTAACAGAATAAATGGATAGAAGATAGATAGAATACTTGCTTGAGAAACTAGTCAAACATACAAATTTAGAAATACTACTCATCCATTTGGAGACCACATGTTCAAGTTATACCTACATTTATTTGTGCTTTAGTTTCATACTGGAAATTTTCAAATGTGTATTTGTCAGATCTTCTTTGACGCATCTTAAATAGCCTGGCACCACGGTTACTAAGATGGGATAATTCTTCCAACATGATATCTCTGGGGATGCTGACCTTTTTGCCAAGGTCCATGCCATCAACATCTGCAAAACAACATTCACATGCATAAAAATCCCAAGGTAAGCATTTTTAATGCTTTTCTAAATGTCATAATTCTAAAATTTCATCAATTTGTAACTGCATGATCATAAGCATGTTACTTATTTTCTCTAAATCTCAGTTCCCTCATCTCTAAAGTAGAGCTAATAATACTATTACCTATTGCAAAGCATTAATATGAGAATGAAATAAAAATGCTTCATGTAAAGCATGAACATGTAGCCTGGTACCTGGCACATAGAGTGAATAGAAGTTAGCTGTAATTACTGTTAGTACAATTTAATCTTTCAATACAGAATGAGAGTTCAAATAGCATTGCTTCATAATTTTATTCATAAAATCTGTTTTGCTCCCCACATTTTCATGTGTCAGCTTTAGCTATCTTCCTACTGAAATGCCTGCCCTCCCACTCCACCCCACCCCATTTCGCAGACTCTGTCAAAATACTATTTATTCTGCAACTAGCACTGAGGAGCCTACACAAAGTAGATAAATGATAAGTACTAAACGAACTTTTTCCCCAGTCCAGCTTAACTGTCGTTTATGTTCATTTCTTACCTGAAATCTTTATTCATAATTACTCATTCATTCTCTGTATTCCCATAACACTGCATCACATATATTTAATTCTGCTTTATTTGTTTTATGGTTTGCATTTTCTTTAGGTTTTAGTCTCTTTGTCTCTCATACCTTAAAATTACACACATTCAGTAAATGAGTGTTATTTTCTATTTCTATTACTAAACAGTTTTTCCAAAATCCAAAAGAGATGAAACCCCTCCAGTTGCTTCTCCAATCAGTAATACATTTCTGTAATACCCACAGAGTCCTTTGCCACTGTTGACTACCATTAAATGCACAGGAAGAAAAACCAGGCCATTAGGAAAATAAATATTTTGATTGATTGGGGCAACATTCTTTGACGACATGACCTATTAACCATAATAATTAAGCTTTTGGGAGTATTTAGAATTAAACAACAGAATTACTTGTTAAATTTCCTCCCCACTTTTCTTTTGAAAGAAAAATTGGTTTACCTGTTTTGTTATTACATGGAGAGAAGTCAGCTAATTATAAAAGTCATAATATCAAGACTTCTGCTTTTGGGAAAATGACATAGATGTATTTTTTCCTATACAGCTATTAAGTACAACTACACATGTTGGACACTATAAATTAAAAAAAATTAAAAGACACTGAAAGTGGAAAGAAATAAGCAGATGGGCTAGTGACCCCCGGACCCAAGGAATAACGTGGTGGTACTACTCTGGGTTTTCTTTTTTTTTTTTTTTTTTTTTTTTTGAGACGGAGTTTCGCTCTTGTTACCCAGGCTGGAGTGCAATGGCGCGATCTCGGCTCACCGCAACCTCCGCCTCCTGGGTTCAGGCAATTCTCCTGCCTCAGCCTCCTGAGTAGCTGGGATTACAGGCACACGCCACCATGCCCAGCTAATTTTTTGTATTTTTAGTAGAGACAGGGTTTCACCATGTTGACCAGGATGGTCTCGATCTCTTGACCTCGTGATCCACCCGCCTCTGCCTCCCAAAGTGCTGGGATTACAGGCTTGAGCCACAGCGCCCGGCCTCTGGGTTTTCTTTGAGCCCCGAAATCTCAGACTTGAAGCTAAAGATAATGGCAACTCAAAAATACCAAGAGGTGCAGGCAAACAAAGTACCAACGAAAGGCTGTTCTCTCCAGCTAAAGGACCAGGAAAGAAGCTGCCTTTGCAAGACAGAAAATGTTTAGACAGTGGCCGCTCACTTTAGCTAAGCGCCACAGAAAACACTTTGACCTCGCTGTCACCCACGTTAAGATCTTGAGGGGAACCCAGAATTTCACCCTGTGAGGCTGTAACAAAGTTCTCCAATACTCCCACTAGGGTGGTGTCGGAGAGACTGAGTGGGAAGTTGGGACTTTCATTCCTGTTGGCCAGTAACTAGCTCCTTGTTCCTCATGCAGTCTTAGTGAAGACGATGTGGGTGTCTGAACTCCTTTCTTCTCCCGCAATAGCGAAGAGGCTCCCGTCAAGTTTCAGTGGAGCCAAATAGGGAACCCAGACTTCTATATTCATCTGGCAGTAATGAGTTGGCACGCCCCTTTCTCTGCTACAGTGGTGTCAGATAAGAACAGATGAAAAAGAAGGTTTAAATAAGAGCAAGCATCGCAGAACATAATGTGAAAATGTCCAGGCTTAAATTTGAAAATCACTCACCATACAATGAACAAGGAAAATATCAAACTGAATGAAAAAAAAAAATCAAATGCCAACACTGGGATGACTGAGATATTAAAATTAACTGATGAAGATTTTAAAGCACCCATAATTTAAAATAATGCTTCAGAAAGCAGTTAGGAAACTGCTTGAAACAAATTCTTTACATGGAAAGCTTTTTTGGCCGAGACTCCATCAGCAGCAGCAAAAAACAAAACAAAAAAACATGTCAGCAGAGAAATAAAAGATATAAAGAACCAAATAAAAATTTTATAACTGAAAATACAATAATAACCTGAGTGAAAAGATCAATGAATGGGCTCAGTAGCAGAAGGGAGGGGGCAAAGGAAAAAAAAAATCAGTTGACTACTAGAATAATAGAAGTTCCCCAATGAGAGCAACACAGAGAAAAATAGACTTGAAAACAAATGAACAAAGTATTCTCAGGGATTCATGGGAGTATAATAAAGGATATAGTATTCATGTCACTGAAGTTCCAGAAGGAGAGGAAAAAGAAGGGGAGGCTGGAGATACTCAAAGACATCATGGCTGAAAAAAGTTCAAAAGTTGACAAGAGATATAAACTTACAGATTCGAGAAGCTAAGAGAACCCTTAACATAATAAACCCAAATAACTCACAACAAGACTTATAAAGCTTCTGAAAACTAAAGACAAAGAAAAAATATTGAGCCACCAGAGAAAAAAAACTTACTGATAAAGGGAAAATAAACAGAATAATAGTGAATTTCTCATCAGAAACTGTGGAGGCCAAAAGGAAGTTGTACAGTATTTTTCTACGTGCTGTGAGAAAAGAATTGTCAACCCAGAATCCCATACTCAGTGAAAAATATCCTGCAAGGAATAAAGGGGAACTTGAGACATTCTCAAATGAATGAAAACTAAGAGAATTTGTTGCTTGAAAGCCTACCCTAAAAGAATGGCTAAATGAAGTTTTTTGAACAGAAAGGAAACAATAAAAGAAGGAAGCCTGGAACATCAGCGATAAAGAAGGTATATAGTAAGCAGAAATATAGGTATATACAATAGGCTTCCCTTCTCTTGAGCTTTCTAATTTATATTTTATTGTGGAAGTCAAAATTATAACACTGACTGATGTAAATGTATGTAAAAGCAATACTTAAGACAATTACTTTATAAACAGGAGAGGATAAAAAGACATCGAAGTAGATAATTTTTGTTGCTGTTGTTTGGGGTATTCTTAGACGGAGTCTTACTCTGTCGCCCAGGCTGGAGTGCATTGGCATGACCCCGGCTCACTGCAAGCTTCGCCTCCCATATTCAAGTGATTCTCCTGCCTCAGCCTCCTGAGTAGCTGGGACTGCAGGCGCTTGCCACCATGATGCCCAGCTAATTTTGGTATTTTTAGTAGAGATGGGGTTTCTCCATGTTGGCCAGGCTGGTCTCAAACTCCTGATGTCAAGTGACCACTGACCTTGGCCTCCCAAAGTGCTGGGATTACAGGCGTGAACAATTGTGCCTGGCCAAAAGCAGATAAATTTTGTATACTTCACTTTCACTGGTGAAGTAGCAACATTAATAGACTATGATAACTTATGCATAGATAATGCATATATAATGTATATATAAGTTATGCATATATAATGCAATACTTAGAGCAATTCCTGAAATCTATGTGAACAGATACATTTGAAAACACTATGCCAAAATGAAACTCTGAAGTAATCCCCAGGAAGAAAGAAAAAAGAAAACAGGAATGTAAAACAGAGATGACAAAAAGAAAACTAAAAATAAAATTATATCCTTAAGCTCTAATACATTAATAAATTAAGTGTAAATAATCTAAAGACATCAGTTGATGTCAGATTGGATTAAAAGCAAACCAACTATGATTTGTTGAACTGTACTGCCTACAAGAAATCACAGCCTGTAATAACACTATAAGCAAGTTGAATGTAACAGAATGGAAAAATACCTATCAAGCACAAAGCCAAAAGAAAGCAGGAGTGGCTATACTAATAACAGGTTAAATAGACTTCAGAGCAACAAAAATTACCAGAGGCAGAGAATGACATTATTTAATGATTAAAGTGTCAATCCACAAAGGTTACCTAGAAATCCTAAATCTATATGCACCAAAAAGAGAGCTACAAAATATTTAAAGTAAAAAATGTAGAACTAAAAGGAGAAATAGACAAATTCACAGTTATAGTTGGAAACTTCAATCCCCCCATCTCAACAGATGATAGAACAACAAGACAGAAGAGCAATAAGAATATAAAGTTCTACAATATTAGCAACCAACAGAACTTGACACTTATATTTTATTCAATAACAATAGAACACACATTTCTTTCAAGTGCCCATGGAATATATATCAAGATAGATCATATCCTAGGCTATAAAATAAATCTCAACAAATTAAAATGATCAAATTATTCAGAGTATTAGCTTTGACCACAATAAAACCGAACTAGAAATTAGTAATAGAACAATAACAGGAGAATCTCCAAACATTTGGAAACTACTCAACATACTTCTAAATAATTAGTGGGACAAAAAAGAAGTCTCAAAGAAAATAAATAATTAAGTGAATTAAATGAATATGAAAATACAGCATATCAAAATTTATGGGACACGGCTAATGTAGTGCTGAGAGGAATATTTATAGCACTAAATGCACAGTTAAAAAAGAGAAAAGTATCAAATCAATAAACTGTCTACCCCCAAAAAATGTAAAAAGAGAACAAAATAAACCCAAAGCAAGAAGAAGGAAAGAAATAATAAAGATA